GTTTCCCCAAAAATAAACATGTCTTGAAACTAAAGCCTTGCCACATTTTTCAGGTGGGCAAAAATATAAGCCCCCCCCCCTGAAAAAAAGCCCCCTCCGGCCTGGCAGATCACCAGTCACCAACCTAGCTGTATCCCGAAGGTGCCAAGCCAGGGGAGCCGGGGAGGGAGGCAAAGAAAGGTACTCATGTTGCTTGGCACCTTTGGTATACTGCTAGGTTGGGGAATGGCATTCTGCCTGTCTGGAGGGGGGAGTTTCCGGGAGGCTGCTCCTTTGCAAGTGGATTCCCGAAAGCTGGGCACAGCCTCAGGGGCAAAGCAGCTATGAGGTGACCATTCTCATGAGCAGCCACCCGGCAAACCCCCTCTCCAGCCAGACAGAGCACCATTCAATGATCTAGAGGGTATGCCTAAGGCGCCAAGACAGTCTTCCGGCAGCTCCCATAACCATAGAGCACACTCCTAGAGCGGCTGCTGCTGGAAGAATCAGAAGCCAAGTTCCTGAGTTTGGAAGCTGGAGAAGAAGTTTTGCTTGGAGCTCGGCAGCAGCTGCAAGGACAGCTGGCCCAGGGCATGGTCAGGCTGGGAAGCATGCGAGCTAGGGGTGGAGCAGGCGCTTGCGCAACCCTCCTCTCCAGCCAGGCAGAGCTCCATGCACTGACCTAGGGGGTATCCCAAATGTGCCAAGCTAAGGAGCTGGTGGGCAGGCAGAGTGCCACATGGCTTGGCACTTTATGGATACTTCCTAGATCAGTGAATGGTGCTCTGCCCGGCTGGAGAGGGGGTTTGCCAGGTGGTTGCTCAAGAGCATGGTCACCTCTTCTTGGCTGCTTCGCCCCTGAGGCTGTGCAAGTCGCTTCGGGAGCCCGGTCGCAAGGGAGCAGCTGCCTGGCAACCCCAAAACAATAAGCCCTCCCCCTCTAATAAGCCCAAGGCCATATTTCATGGGTCCAAAAAATATAAGACCCTGTCATATTTTTGGGGAAACATGGTCTTTTCCCGTATAAGATTGGCAGTATCTTGGCGATGTTTCGACGAGGTTACACTTGTCATCTTCAGGCTGATGCTTTTGGCTTCATGCTTGTGTGAGCAAAGCGTGATCGGAGCTGTTTTTCTATAAATATAGGTGGGTGGGTGTGGAATGTTGGCTTTGTTGCTTTAAACGGATTGGTTGGCTGTGTTGTCACGTCTTGATTCATTGATGGAATTGATGTTTGGTGAGGGTGATTGGTTATAGTATCCTGTGTTGTTCTGGGTCCTGTGTTGGGTTTTGTGGCTGGGACTCGTTTGTTGACTAGAGCTGGTTTCCAGATGTCTGGTAGGCAGGAGGTGTCATCACGTTTATTCATGTTGTGGGGGTGTTTATTTCGATAGCTTCCTGTTCTGATCGCCCTCCGTCCAGTGAGTCACGGCAACACAAACTTACTGTTAGCCACGCTTTATTCACAGTAATTACTCACAAAGACTTTGGCAGCAACCCAGACTCCCACAGATAAGAGATACACACAAGAGCTTCTTCAGCTTAGTATAACGGTTGTGTCCTGCAAAAGGTCTCCTCCCAAAGTCTCGTCTTATATGCTCTCTTGGAAAGAGCCAAATCACAAC